ATCCTCATAAACAACTTCACTGCACATTAGTAACTAATTTTCTTACTTCACAGCTGTTCTCCAAAGATAACCTGCAGTCCCCATGCAGATGCCGTCAGTGAACCTACAGGAGAAATGATAATCACTTCCCAGGAAGAAGGTGAGCTCATGGGACTTCATCTCAGGATTAAAGGCCCTGTTTCCACAGCTGCGTAATGCCATCGCAGTAGCCACCATCGTGGAGCAAAAGCTAATTTGGTGAGTAACTGCTATTCCCAGGTGCGTGCAACAGTTTTGATGGAATAGAACATATCTGAGAATATTCGGCTAGCACTGCTATATGAAAAGCTCAACTCTGTTCTCTGGGGTCAGGACACATGTACTGAAAAGGAGGGTGAGGAAGCATTCTGAGAACCTAGAGGTGTGCTGATCCTTCAACTGCTTGCTTTAGCACAGCCTAGGATCTCTCTACCACGTATCTCTTTCTCTAGCTACTCTCCTGTCTCACAGGTGACAAAAGCTTGCAATATTTTCTCCAACAGCTACATCCGCCGGATGTGGAGAGCAGGAAGACCAGTGTCAGGCACAGACTCTGAGTGGACAGTTTGCATAGCAATGTTGCATGGGCACTTTTGGCCTTTTCTGAGCGTGTCTTCCAAATGGAATGTTTATTTATTTTTAGAAATACCAGGACTTGAAACCGACAGCTCACACATGCTAGGCAAGTGCTCTACTACTGACCCCCAACACCAGCCCTCAAAAGGAATCTGGAGGTTTATTTTATTCACATGTATTTGACTTCTTGTATATTTTACTCCACTAAGTAAAAGGAAAGCAAAACTTAGGAAAAATGTTAGTAAAAACTTGAAAATAACAAAGAGCAGTAAAATGGGGATTATCAAAACTTCTTATGGAAGCATATTTTTATGCACATAGCATCCTCATGGTCAGTAACATTTTGCTCCCTTCTCTTTGGAAAGATCTCAGGAGACTGGGAGACAATATAGGTTTTCCTGTGTCATGCAGAAGGCATAAGAGGGCTTGTTCCGAAGCCACATTGTGACCACACTCTCTCCTAACAGGTATATCCTTGTCCTTTGTGGGAGTGAAATTCTCCTGTTTGCTTCACAATGCTCTCACAAAGCTTTGTCGTGTGTCGTACGTCAAGAGTGTTTATGTGCTCTTAGAAAAGGGAAGTTTGTGAAGGGCAGAGCGCTGAGTAATGCAGCAACCTTCAGACTTGCACATCTTCTCTCTGACAGCACTTTGTTAATTCTTATGTGACATCCATTGTCCTGCTTTCACACTACTTAATTTTCAACTTTACACATTATTTCTATTTGTTCATTCAAAATTCTTTGACTTCTCTTTATTCTCGCTAGTCTGTAATTTGGAAGCCTGTTTTTAAAATTCCTCAATGTTTTTGTGAAATGTCACATTGCTACCTCAAAGTGATTTATATGTGTTCAGAAATATGTATATTTTCCTTGTTATATTCATTGTGTTTTGCTTTCAGTTTATTTGCAAAGATCCATCAAAATAGTCTGTTCTTACTGTAAACTGGAGTCTTGATTCTCAGTGACCTATGTACTTCTGTTTATAGAAAATACACTTATTTTCATAATTCTGTATATTTGTTTACTTCATATGCAGGTTTGAATACAGTATTTGCCAATTTGTTGGAATTATTGGAATTGTTTATTTCAATTTGCGACCTACTTAACATTTTCTTGCCTTTTCTGCTTCCCCACAAGCTCAGGAGGTGTGATAAATGCATGCTCTGGTGAACTTACACAAGTAAGTAGGTAGAGGGATGTGCTTCCAGGGTCCCTGCTGTGTACCAGTAATTCCGCGACTATTTTCTTTACAAGAATAAGCTCATGAACATGTATGAGAGTTCTTCTGAGTAAAACTGTTTTCATTGTACTTTTTCTTTATTTTGTTGATAAAAGCTATCTTTTATATTTAAGGACATGAGTTATATGGTCTTTTATTTAGAAATAATTTTTATAAATTTTGGCAAATTTCTTTCAATGCTTGAGTTTTGCAAAATATTTATATATTTCAAGATGTTTATATTTCCCTATGATATTTGCTTCAAAGCTTAATTAGGAGCAAGAGTCTGAAAGCATTACTATGGATTTTTATTTCATTGTGATTAGGTATATTCAAATACATTTCACTAATTATTATGTCACATGATTCTTAAAGAATGCTCATGTACAAGAGAGTCAGCATTCGCTATGAATATATACCTCTTCATTCATGTTAACTGTAACTGATGTTTCTGGTCTTCTAGTATCAAATGTGAGACCTAATCTCAACCATAAGTCATGTGTGTGTATATATATATATATATATATATATATATATATATATATATATAAAGTATTTTCTAGGTAATTAAAATAGTAGTGACTCAAGTATGCACCCAGAGTTTGATCATACCATCTTTTCTTCTTTTCTTTTTCTTTTTCTTTTTCTTTTTCTTTTTTTTTTTTTTTTTTTTGTGGTCTTTTTGAGACAGGGTCTCGCTATGCAGTTCAGGCTGGCCTTGAGCTCACTTTGTAGCCCAGGCTGGTCTCAAACTCGCAACAATCCTCCTGCCTCAGCATCTCAAGTACTGGGATGACAAGCGTGCGCCACCACGCCTGATTGTCATGCCACTTTTTCAAAAATGTATTTTTGAGCTGGATGTGATGGCTTATGCCTGTCATCCCAGCATACTGGGAGGCTGAAGCAGGAGTGTCACAAGTTGAAGCCCAGCCTGGGAAATATAGGGAGAAGTGACTCAAATTTAAAATAAATTTTTAAAAGTGTGTGGATGTGGCTGCGTGTGAGGGTCCTCATTTCAACTTCCAGGATCAGAAAAACTATTTTTCACAATTAGTGTTTAGATCCTAACTAATCTATTCCCCTTTTATGTATATGCTATGCACCATAACTGTCCTTTTCTTATAAGTTACCCTACTTTTTGTGTTGTATTTTTCATTTAAATGATGGTGTGACTGGGGCATTTGTCTGGTATAATTCTCCACATCCTCTAATGTCGTCGCATCTCTTTCATGCCCTTGAACGTGACCTCTCTTATTTCACCAAGTGTGTGAGTAGAGCCAGAAGCACTGATCTAATCCATGTTCTCTTCGGCACGGTGCTCACTTCCATCTGCATCCAGCACACATGCTCTGACATCAGACCACATCTCCTGTGTGATGCTAAGTGTTACTGTGCCCTGCGGTGTCACTAGCTTTCAATCCAGTATCATTTCCCTCCCTGGCATTTTATCTACATCTCAGCAGTCGTTGGCTGAGACCACTGTTTGCAGAAACTGGTTGATTGTGGTTATATCATATTTTATAAGTTATAAACTTGTCTGCCACCTAATTCTGTCAGGACGCTGCATTCATTAGCGCAGAACCTTCTACAGAGAAGTTCTGCTGAACTATTTGTTTATCCTATAAGGAAAGATAGTGACTGTTACTTTCGCTACCTTTTACAGTTTGGGAAATGATGACTTGTGTCACCAGTCCTCCAAACTTTACTGGTTCATTTTCATATTACTAGCAACATAGAGACTCCAGAACTCACTCAGTGTGATTCCACCAATTCTAGGCATCTTTTATTGATGAATCACCTGTACCATAATTTTTAAGTTGATGCCAATTCGTTTTTTTAATTGTTTTAATTATTTTATTTTAAAAATAAAAGAAGGAAAACATTAACAAACAGAAAGCCATCTACAAAATAGCAAAAGAACAAAACAAACAGATATCAATATATAATACAACAGGCATTGTTAATTTCCCACCACTTTGGGTGCCAACTCATTTGGATCCTTAAGTCCTAACCTGGTGTAATCAGCCTTTCACACCTGACTTGCTTTTTTGTGTAATAATAATATACCACATAGTCATCCTGATTTAAGAGAAATTGATTTAAGAGAAATTCTTGACTCCTTCAATGAGAAATTATATTCAGAACCCACCATCTGCATGTGAGCGCTCTACCTTGATACTGAAGTGGCTTGGAATCTAAACCTTCACAGAAGAATTGTGTGAAAAATATTTGTATTTTTAAATTATGTACATCATGATAAATGTGGATTAAATAAGTTTAGAATGATAGTGTTTCACACTAACTGACTTTTACACTTGCCATTTCTCCCACTTGATAAAAAATTAGGTTGACAGTAGCTTCAACATACTTCCTTCTGTAACAGTGATGCTAATGCTTTTATACATATTTATACACAACCAGGTAATAGAAGCATTTAGTGTATTTCTATATTTTATTTATTAGATATGCCCCATGAGCGATAAAAATGAAAATATAATTGCTTTGAAGGCAAGTAAATAAATTGCTTGCCAAGCACTCAATATATTTCTTCGGGGCTTGGTAGAGCCCCGTACAGCTCACATGAGGCCCATGTTAAATCGCCAGCAGCACACAAAAGGGCTTCAGATTAATATTTTAAAATATTTTATCTGCCAGGGATTTAGCTCAGTGGCACAAGTGCCTCCCTGCAAGCACAAGACCCTGAGTTCGATTCCCAGTACCAAAAAAAAAAAAAAAGAAAGAAATCCAGCACAGTGTAACAATAACGTAAGATATTTACATTTGCTTAAATGTAAACATATTGACTAATTAGTTAAGTGTAATTTCTACCCTTTCCCTCCATCCTGATTCTGGTCTGTTTAGAGAGGAGAATGTGTTAATAATTTTATACAGTCCCTTTTTGTCCAAAACCAGACAGCGATGTATTCTTAAATTCATCTACAATTCTGGGGGGAGAACACTATTTTTCTCTTTGTTTTTGTATTTCACTTCATTTTTTAAGGTATGCACATCTACTGGGGACAACTGTATGTCGGGAAGTAGAGACGTGGCTCAGCCATATTTACTGTCTCAGATGTTCTGGGTGACTCTGCCATTGTTCATTTGTCCCGCCCACTCAGGCACACTGAGGTTTACTGCAGAGCAGTGCAGTAGGCAATCTTTACATACAGTAGCCCATAATTATCAGCACGTCTATTTATAGTGGAAAACCATGGCTCTAAAAACAGGAAGAGACTGGGCATGATCACAGGAATGCATTTGTTTATCCTCTGTCTCCAGCTAAAGCCAAAATCTCAGAAATTCATGTGATGAGTTCTGCTAATGTGGACATGGGGATTATCTTCCTCATTCAGACAAGCACTGGTATCCTGGGAAACTCTACGCTCCTTTGCTTTTATAGCTTCCTTCTCTTTTCTGGACACACGGTGAGACCCACAGACTTGATTCTCGGTCAACTGGTTTTAGCCAACTCCATGGTTCTTTTCACCAGAGGAGTCCCTCAGACAGTGGCGTGCTTTGGATGGAAACCTTTCCTGGATGATGTTGGCTGTAAACTCGCCTTCTATCTTCACAGAGTGGGCAGGGGAGTTTCCCTCAGCACCACCTGTCTCCTGAGTGTCTTCCAGGCCTTGAAACTCTGCACTAATTATTTTCAGAGCTTTGGAATCCAAATACAATCCCCAAGGTGCATCAGTTTCTGCTGTGTCCTTTTGTGGGTTCTCCATCTCTTCATAAATATAATAGTTCCCTTGAACATGACTCAGTTAGTCGACAGCAAAAATGTAAGTGTGATGAGAAAAAACTTTGGCTATTGCTCCGCCCCCGTTCTGGATAAACTTACAGCTGGACTTCACGCAGTCTTGTTCTCTTTATTCGACGTGATGACTTTGGGTATCATGTGTTGGGCCAGCGGCTCCATGGTCCTGGCCCTGCACAGGCACAGGCAGCGGGTCCAACACATCCACAGCCACAGCCTCTCCTCCAGACCTTCTCATGAGGCCAGGGCCACACGCACCATCCTGATCCTGGTGAGCTCCTTCATCTTGTTTAATTCTATTGCCTCCATTTTCACCTTTTGTTTCTCTTTTGTGAATCCAGGCCACCGGGTGGTGCAAACCTCTTTGTTAGCAAGCTTATGCTTCCCAACACTTAGCTCTTTCCTGCTCATCAGCACCGACTCCCGAATCTCACAGTTCTGCTTCTCCTGCTGGCAAAGACAGCAGTACATTTGCTAAAGTGTTTATGCATGTAAAGACTCCTCTTCTCTCAACAAATCAAGCACACTCCGTAAATATCTGGGTGACTATGAAGTGCTAAGTACTCTGGTAGGAGTTTCTATACTCTGTGATTAAAATCCACAGTAACTGTCCTCATTAATCTCATTTTCTAGCCAGACAGAAAGCATTGCCACAATAATTGCATGAAGATTATGTAAATCTGTTTTGTGCTTCAGTGTAGATGTGTAGGATTTAGGGGGATGACCTCATGAAAGGAAGTAACCTAGTTTACAGATGCATCAGAATTATCACTGGGGTCCTGGCTGTCCTGAAGATCCAGAAAGGTCCTGGCTGGGCCCTTGGGTTACCAGGTGCTGGCTTCTGCTGTGTGGGCAGCGTCCTCACCACTGCACTTTAGCAGGACATACGGCCACCTTGCTCTGCACTGCACTGTGATCTTGATTGCCGAAGATGCCACACGACGTGCCTGCGGGCAAGGGGAATCCAGCGGGACTGAGCCTGATGCTCCCTCCCAACCTGCGGGGTTTGTATTGCAGGAGTGTGCTATGTGGGCTGCTGGGAGGATCGTCACCCAGGGCTGCCGGCTGTGCCCGCTGTGCTGCATGACCAGCGTGCCAGGCAGGTGGTGCCTACCAGGTGGCAGTGGCACAGCTCCTCTGGGTGAAGCCCATCACTTTCTGATGGGCTTTAAATTCGCTGCAAGGATGGCAACCACATGTTTGCCTCAGGCCAGGAGGCAGTCCTGTGGCTGGGGAAGTCATAGCCCTCAGTAGAGAATCACTACTCCTATTTAGTGGATGTGATGCCCTAGTGAGACTGCCGTCCAGCAGGCATTTGTGGCTGTGCCCCTGGATTTCTGCTCCTGTTGACCAAAGCTGAGGGGAAGCTGTTCTTGCAGTGGACAGTGAGCGCAGTGCGACACACAGGAAAGGAAGACCCACTGCTGGGTGTGCGCTGATCTTCCCTGTCCAGTCAGGCGGATGTGTGCTGTAGTGCTGGTGCTGCTGCTCAAACACGAGGGCCTCTTGTGTAGCATACGTGGGAACTGTGAAGACATCCTGACCCATTCTTACCTCACTGGGGACACGGCTGTGCCATCCTGGGCATGTGTGTCAGCTGCTTCAGTCTGCACTGTTCCTCAGACATAACAGTTCTGAGCTCAGTCCACACCCGGGAGACAAATCCCCTCAAGGCTGGGGGAACATGGTAGAAAGTGACTCAAGGAGTGTAAGAACCAGAGGAAAATGTGGAGTGGAGTGAGAGTTATCCACTTAGCCCCAGCCAGCATCAATCCATCTTGCAGTGAGCTTCTGTGTAGCTGTCCAGGGCACAGCATCAAGTGCTGAGGCCATGTCCAGACCGCAGCCACACAACGTCGTCCACCACCATGGCCAGACAGCGCTTATGTGACAAAGCTCTGTGACATGGCAGAGACTGGACAGCTTTGTCCAAAGACTCTTCTTGTTTTCGCTGTTTTCATTAGTGCCCTATAAACACAGTAACTTAGCAAATAGCAGTGGGTGACTTCAGTTGCACTGCAGCCTGCAAGTCGCCCTCTGTTGTGTGTCTCACCCCTAACAAACTCAAGTGTCTGGACCTGGAGAGTCCTTTGCACTGCTGTAGCCCTTTCAATTAAGATGGGTATTATTTGTTTTGGTCTTTGTAGGAAATCCATGCAACATCTTTCAAAGTTGAACAGAAGTTAAAGGACACTTTCGATGCCCTCTTGGTTCATTTAGAAGGAGACATAAGGAAGCTTGAGGCCCACATAAAATAAAGCACAAGCCAGAGGAAATGATCCAAAGCTACATTCAGAAAGTTACTTTGCCTAATGTACTTATGCAATATGAAGCTCCAACAGAAAAATCTCAGAAATTATTCAGAGTCCATTGTAAATTATCAACACTCGGTCCTTGAGTTCAAAAGGGAAGAAATCTGGCTCTACCCTCATTCAGAGAACTTCCTGAGTTCTCGTTATGACCCCCTTGTAGCACCAGGTAATTTTAGATTATCTGAGGCAAATTTTTCCAGATAACTTCATCTTGGAATGCATGACATGTAGAACAGTAATCAAGTGTCTCCAATGAGCAAGTTACTACTATAAAAATTGAAAAATTTCAATTATTCCTTGGAATCAAAGCCTCTGCATTATCTGAACACCTTCACATGATTTTTCCAAGCTTTCCCCCTTGCTGTAAAAGTTGGGGTGCTCAATGTGCACATAAACACTGTGGGAGAAACCACAGACCTGAATTTATCAACAAAAAGGGAGAAAGATCAGGAAGTCCCCTCAGGTCCATGCATGGAATAGGCAGTGCCCCATCAACTCCCTGATGCAGGCTAGTAGAAGCCCAGTCCCTAGGCCTCAGCTGGAAAAGTAGGCAGACAAACCTGTCCAGGCAGAAATGATGATGTGCACAACAGTCCATGTCTTCCACTGATCTTGGTTATAGGCCCTGGACATGCTTGCACACCTCTGTAAGCCTTTGTTCCCTGTCCATGGAGACTCATGACAGTCAAGTCCTTTGCCACCCAGAGCTGGGTCAGTCAAGGGCCAAATACTCAGGAGGACTAAGGGCTAGAGACATTATGTGTGGCCTCAGCACCCTTCTGAGGTGAGAGGTGAGTGTCAGGATTCCATTTCCATGACCACATATAGTGACAGCTGGGGTTGATGTCACAGGGCCTGAGATTCTCTACTCAGGTTTCTATAGATTCTCGTCTGACAACTGACATGTAAGAGTCTGAACTTGTTTCTTGCTTTTCAAAAAAAATTATTCATTTTCATGTTATGAGTGCATGTTTGCAGTGCATCAGGTCTACACTTACTTAGGGAGTCATGCATGTGTACAACACAGCTTGTGTCTTTTAAAAATTCCCTTCCTCTCCCCACCCATGTCCCCCTCTTCATCTCTATTTTCCCTTTACCCACTTTCATGCTTATTTTTATTAGTGTTCTTATAGTTCATGCTTAAGACATGTAATGTTTATATTCATATGCTAAATCTTTTTTATTTCACTGATCTCTTCCTTTCCCTTAACCTCGGTATCCCAGACCATTTTCAATGTATACAGATCCATCTCCTTGTTCCTTCTATCAATCCTTTATTTTGCTCTTTATTTATACTTTGCCTTATTCAAGTGAGAGGTACCACGTAGTATTTAAGCTCATGTCTGATTTATTTTATTCAGAAATATATTACCCATATTTTTCCATTTTCTTACAAATGTCCCAAATTTTCCCTTTTTATACCTGGGTCACATTCCTTTATGTATAGCTATCACATTTCTTTATCCAATTATCTGCTGATGGGCATACAGTCTCCTTCCAGGATTTTGCTTTTATGAATTGTGTTGCTCTAAATATTGGTGTGCATGTATCACTCTTTGTAATTTGTTGAGTACATTCTTTTTCTTTTCCTATTTTATTTTTATGTGTACTTATTTTCCGGTGATGGAGGTATTCATTCTGTCTGGAATTTTAGCTTGTTGACTTCATTGTTTCTATTAGGATATTCTTGAGTATTTTTCTGGAGTGCTGGCTTACTATTCACAAATCTTTTGAGCTCTTCATTTTCATGAAATGTTCTTATGTGTCCATCTATTTAGAAGAAAAGTTTTGCTGGAGTTTTAGCCTAGTTTGGAAGTTTCCTCTTAGGGTTTGAAATACTTCACTTCTGGCCTTTAAAGTTTGTGTTAAGAAGTGAGCTATAACTATAATGGAATTACCATTATATGAGATCTTTTGTTTTCCTCTAACTGCTTTTAAAATTGTTATTTTGTTAGACATTTGGCTTTTCAATTGTGTTGTGCCTTAGGGAGAACCTTTCTTCATCAAGCCTCTCTTATGTGTATGTTGAACTCTTCATATCTGAAAAGTTTTCTATTAGGATATCAGTAAATAAATAAATTATTCAAGGTGTGTTATTTTCTAGTTTTTCCCCAACTCTGATTAGCTTTATATTGGTCCTCTTAGTGTCATCTATTACCTGTTGGATGAGTTTTTCTTCTCTCTTAATTTTTATTGAGGCTTTTCTAAGTACTTCATCATAGTTTAGCATCTTGTCCTTGATTTCAGAAAACCTGTCTTCACATTGATCATTTCTGCAAATTATGAATTCTACACAGTATTTTATGTCTGGAATTTCTGATTCCACTTTGTTGATTCTATACCTTTGGTATATTTATCATTCATGTTTTGAACAGTTTTATCAGCTCTTCCAACCACATTTGTCATTTTGTATGATAATTCCATAAACTTTTGAGTCTCATCCTTTTTGAGTACACCTAACTGCTTTATATCTTCTTTCAACCATTTGTAGAGCTCAGTCACCTGGTGTTGACTTTTCTCTCCATGTGTGACCCTGGATCTGCCTTTGGAGAGGTGGGAGAACTTGGGGATCTTTCAGTTTTACTGTTTATTTTCCATTTTATATTTCTGAAAGTTGAGGTCCAGCAGGATGACAAGAGCTGGACAATCTTTTTAGTATGAAACTGCCTTTCTATGAAGTGCTTTCAGCCTAGGTTTCATCTACAGATATCGTCTTTCCAATTACTGTTCTGATCCACCTTATAAGACCCTCCCCTACTACAAGGTACTTGTGTTTTGTGACTAGTTTCTGAGCATCTCTCATGGGACTTCTCCTCTAGTTAGACATGTTCATTCAACCTCTTGATTGAGGTCGGCAGAAACTGACCCGTGGGCAGATGTGAACTTATTGCACTATGCTAGGAGGAGAAGTCAGGAGCTGCCGATTCTGCCATCTTGCTGATTTTACAAATTATACTGAGTCTCATCACTACCTAGTTAAGTCTTTCTTCCCCAAATATCTTCCTAAACTTTCCTTTCATGATCAGTCAGCCTCATCTACTGGAAGTCATCTCAGAAAAGAACTGGTTTAAAAATGTGTTGTATTGGGCTGTGTCATGTACTGTGCACAACAATTACAGAAGTCAGCGTTCAGGGAATCAGTGTGTATGTTCATATTTCACAGTGG